TTACGAATAAATTCCATTAATTCGTTAACGTTCCATGTTTGATCACTGTCTTCTACTGCGACTGTATTCTAATGTTATTTCTGATGGAATTAATTTTAACAATATTGGGCAAAGTAAACTACCGTAAGTTTCTGATACCACGTTTATTGACTTTAAGCATCTAATTTGAGTTTCATACTGATCATATAAATTCCTAAGATTTTCCATGTCGCTTACATTTCTAACAGGGGAAAGATTTAATTTGTTCATGTGAGCATTTATTACCAAATATTTTCTCCAAAACCTGTTAGTTAACAATTCTATAGCTGAATCGTAGTTCTCATTTGTAAGCGAAAGTCGAGAAATGGCATTATAAGCTACCGCACCTAGTAACGACTTTAAGTAACTGTACTTATTTACTTTCGATAATGAGCCATTGTTATGGATAGCTGCTTTGAATCGACTTCAAAATTCCTGCCAATTTCTAGAATCACGAAAAAATTTAGAGATTGTCAATTTTGGAAGGTGAAGAAAGTTATTACTTTTAATTTTAGAATCTCTGGCAGTTTCATTAGAAATGTTCATAATTTCCTTATCCAAATTTTCGAGTTTGTGTAATTCCCTTAATTTTTTTCTTGCTATATGCCGGGAAGTCGGCTAATATTCGAAAATATGGATTTGTAAGTATGGATAGCACGGTGGATCAGTGCTAGAATGCTCGCCTGCCACGCGGGCGACCCGGGTTCGATACCCGGCTGATGCACCAAAAAAATGTTTTTGTCCGCACTAATGTACACTATTCGAATCACGAATGTCGCTGCCTACGCATCTAACTATCTAACAACGTATCTAAATGCCACATCGAAATTTCTGCAAGCAGTGGTTCAGCTGTAATTCTATGATCAAACACTCAATCTAGTTTTAAAAGGATTTATTAAAATACTAAAATTAATATAATCTAGAATCGAATCTAATGTTACATCTCAGGAGCAGCGTTCTAGCTGCGTCATAACAAATATAAAGTCAAGTTCTCACTGTTGCCATTCTGAGGCAGAGAAAAGTTTGTTTCTAATCAAACCGGAACATCGGCATAGTGAAAGTTTCTGGTCAAACTGGAACAAATTTAAAACATTAAACTGCTTAATAGTGCTAATTTGAAAAATAAATGCAATTTATGTTAAACGTATGTATCACTTAATTGAAAGCATTTAAAAATATTTTATATATTTTCCATTCGGTGAAACAGTAAATATATATGCATATAGTATGTTTCAATACTGCAGCATTAATTTTAATTAAATTTCAGTGAAAATGGTATAAAATATACAATACTTTCAGACAGTCAAAAAAAACTCCCAAAAATTTTGTAAAAAAGGCAATTCAGTTTAAATTATGAAATTTTTATCAACAAATGGCTTGAAATGCTTCTTTCAAATACAAATAAAATAAACATGAAAATTTAAGCATCAATATAATAATATTAGATTTATAACGAAAACAAATATCTAGAATCCGTCTGTCTTTCAAACATTTAACATCAATAATTTCTGCTTAGTTGTTCTTTTATGAATAATCTGAATTTTATTAGTTCTGTAAATATTTTTTTACATACACAATCAATTATTTAAAGGCATTATCTTATTTTTCTGCATTACTATACTTTTCTCTGCACTACTTTATATTTCTTCTTTACTGTGAATTACTACAGAAGAACTTTGCATATGGATTTAGAGGTATTGCTCAGTCGCACTATTGTACTAGGGCAACATCCATCACAGAGCACAAAGCACCCTGTCTCAGGAACCATCCCAGCAAGGAATCCACCACAAAATGTGTAACTTTCTCACCTTTTGCCTATTGGGCAGTTTCAGTTGCACTGTATGTTTCTTTATATACTATTATAATTATTTCATTTTGAAATAAAAATTGGTATTTTGATAATGCTTTGGTGTGTATTTATATTCCATTGTTCATAGGTACCTTTTTTTATTCGTTTCACAGAGGATCTTATCGCATGCATGTATAAATATTTCATTTCATTAGTTTAGGCATATTTCTGATGTTTCACTTTCGGATCACTTTCACTTTTGGCTGTTGTGATCATGCTTTTCAGTCTTTTTGTGCGTGATTCTTTTCAGTCTTTGTGTGTGATTGATCAATTTTTCACTATTTTTAAATGGCTATGGGCATAATCTCAATATCTGAATTACTTTTAAACAGACATAAAAGTTATTTAACTACTGAATATTCCAATTGTTGTACATAGCACAATTTACGAGTTTTGACATAGCATGAGCACTGTGTAAACCAATACTTAATTTGCTACATTCATTTGTAACTTCTTATACATCAAATTCCAATGATTTCATTTTTTTTTTTTTCAAAATAGCCTATTATTCATAACAAAGCATTAATAAACCTACACAAACAAGGCATTAATAAACCTACACAATCGAACCTCATTCTAGCAAACCAAAAATTTGGTCTGTTATATCTGGTGGTGAGCTACATTCGAACTGATAAAGGGGGGAAATGGATCATTTCACAAAATATTGAAAAATTGATCAATCGCACACAAAAAGACTGTGTGCGATTGTATGATCACAACATCCAAAAGTGAATTTAGTGATCCGAAAGTGAAACATTCATTGCAACATCTAAAAGTGAACTCAAATTTTTAAAAATCATATTGAGTGTTCACTGCAACTGTTGCACACAATTACTTTTTTTTTTTTTTTTTTTTCTTGTTGTCAGTTTCATCATTTTACGTAAAAAATTTTAGTTTGGTTCCATTCCTCCAACTACACATTCCCATCTAACATGCATTTATAACTAGGCATAAACATCAGCCTTGAACAGAGTGCTATTTCACAGCTCAATCTAAGATCTCAAAAGAAATCAAAGAACCTATTCAAGCTATTTGGCTCAGCATATAACACACTAGGATCTCTAAAGGTATTTTATTTCAAGTCCTGATTTTTAAGCATTTAAGCACTGCACCTGCCCCGATAGCCTTTTGTTTAAAACAGAGAAGGGTGCAGATAAAGATGAAAGGACAGTAACTTAAAAAGCATGAATTTAAGAGGTATAAAATGTAGTTGGGAAAACTGCAGAAATTCTGGAGAAAAGTCTACACTTCAAAATATATATAGTTATCCATCATTCCAATTTTTATACATTTGGAAAGTGGCTATAACCAATAAAGTCAAAAAAACTGGATAACAAAAGTTTTTTGGGGGGAAAGGGGAATTATATCCAGGGGTTCATTATAAGCCAGTAGTGGGGTTTAACTTCATTATTTATTTCACAGAATAGAATACGTGCCCAGGTGGTATAGTAGTTAGGGAAGCTGAATACGATGCCAAAAGGGCCCGAGTTTGAATCCCAGAGAAGGCATAGTTGTAACAGTCCCTTCATAAGGGCAATGATGGCCTACTTATTAGGTGCCTCCATAATAACGTGACCTCTGCTTCTGGCCTTAGTAGTAGCCAACGTCTATGATGACATGTGGCCGACATTGGAAGGGGGATAATAGAATACGTACAAGACAGAAATAACAATGCAATTGTTCAAGTAACACAGTTTCAATATTCTAGCGCATGAAGACTAATGAGATCACTACAAATATATTAAAACTATATTTTCGAAGTTATAGCAAGGGAAGAAAATACATCAAAAATGAAAAAATCATTTACACAGAACTAAAGGAACATGACATATATTTATATTATAAAATTTTTAAGACACTACTATGCCAAGAATAACACTTTTTTTCCCTTAGCTCACTGCTAATGTGTAAATTAATTCCTCTCATTTTTTTGACTGAATCAAAGGCAAAGATAAAATTTCAAACTTTTCCATTTTGAACTCTAGAACATTTCTCTAAATGCACTGTACAGTCAGTATTTTCTTGTAAAATTTTTGCTTCTCCAGACTTTTCTTAAGAGGTTGATTCTGGCAATTAGAAATTTTTGGCTAAAAACTATATGCAAAACAAGCTTTATTAATAGTGATTTTAATAAAGATTAAAATGCAAGTTCTAATCACCTTTCTAAAATCATTTAATATTTTTTTTAAAAAAAGAGAATTTTTTATACATTGCAATCATTATCTGCATATTCTTCAATAAGCAGCATAACAAATGACTGGGGAAGCGGTAAATGCTACTATTGAATGCATTCCCAAGATATTAGTCACAAAGGTTAGGACATTCCTGTAAATCTTATTCCACATATGTTACATGCTTTGTAAACACAGACTATCTCTTTACTTGCTAACATAATTTTAATTATTTATCCCATTTAATTGTTAGTTATAAGTTTGAATAATCCCATACATACCCCTCGACAATCATTTATTGTAATGGCTCGGATCTGCACCTCGACAGTGTCAGTACCACGAGATAAAAACACTGAGCCTGGCATTTCCAGAATCCAAGAGAAGATTGCTTCTTATGGATAGACACAGGGGGATAGGCGAAGACGCATGCCAATACCCCACCTGCTAGTTGGTTTACCAGAAGGTGATAAAGCCTTTGGTGAGGAGAGAGGTAACAACTCTGCACTCTCAAGCGATAGCTGGATCACAGGTACAGTCCTAGGCAGTTTAGTACTGGTGGCAGCTATTAGACAACCAGTCAGATTTTTAGACATATATCCCTGTGGTCTTTGGTAGCTGGAAGACAGTCGAGTAGTTCAGTGGCAGGATTTAGGAAAGCTTTAAAAGAAGGCCGCTGATGTGAGTATTGGGAGCTGGGTCTCCGCAAATGAGACTAATTACCATCTCCAAGGTTGGTTTTGACTGGATTGCCACCCCATGCGCAATATCAGGGCTATTCAGTTGGGACTCAGTCCATGTAGTGACTAAGTCGGAACACATGTAACATTATTATTAATCTTGCACATATACTACCCTACGTTCTTCTTAGTTACACTCATTTTAACAAAAGCTCTTTTATAAAGTTTATCTTTAAGACTGATAAATTAGAAACACATAATCATCATAAATTAAAAAATAATGACCTGCAAAGGCTCTAGCTTCATCTGTAGGAACAGCACGTAAATGTCGTAAATCACTTTTATTCCCTACTAACATAATCACAATATTCTGATCAGCATGATCTTGGAGTTCTTTCAGCCAGCGTTCCACATTTTCATAAGTCAGATGTTTTGCTATGTCATAAACCAACAAAGCACCTACTGCTCCTCTGTAATAGCTATAATAAATGTTTTTTCATATATCAGAATGATTTAAACTTACATTTTTCGAAAAACAAAAATATTTCAATAAGTGCAATATTTGGTTAAAAAGCAATGCAAATTTTACATCTCGTTCATTTATACTGTCATTTATACAACTCTAACAATTAAAAAATTTAAAATAAAAATCTTTTAAAAAATAATGATAAAAATGTGACTTTTAATTCTTAATTTAATTTTAATTGGATCACTAAGGTACTGTGTTAACCACAAAAACAGCTGGAGTTATTCAAGTTGTGTTTAGTTATTAGACTTTAATCACTCATACAGGTGATAATTAAATTCAGGGAAGCAGGTAATTAGATTGTAACTCCAAGAAGAGATGGATTAAGCAAGGACTACATCTGTTGACATTGCTACCTGAAGGTGATTGTTACGAATTTATTGATTGGGGGGAGGGAAGATGCTGCTCCCTATTAGGATCAGATTTATAATAATGCACATTTTTAACTGTACCAGTTGAATATTGAAAGGGCTGGAAATCATATTAATGTTAAGTAAATATAATAACTTTTACAAAAATTTATTAACTTGGGGGGGAATAAGTACTACCATTAATAAAGAAAAACAGAAAAAAAAAATCTGAACTGTAATGACTGAAAATGAGAATTAAAAACTACTGTTCACTATACATGGATACATTAAAATTCAACGATTACACGGAAATTTGCATACAAAGTGATATTGCAGTCAGAGCTTTTAAATACTCTCAACTACAGATTCAAAGGAAGTCTAAATTAAAAAAATTTAGGACTTTTCAAAGCAGAAAAATAAATACTTATAGCCTTAAGTATTGACCCAAATGGTTTATACCAAAACTCAAGACAGAACTTCATTACTGGATAAAAATAAAAACATATATTTTTATTTTAAATTTTTACTACATATTTTGTTCCTAAATTTAAAATGAAACTTTCTGAACAGTTATTTTTACATATCTTTCACAGATTTATTTAGTAAACAGAAATTTTCATCATAATACAGAATATACAGATACTTTTAAATGCTTCTGAAAATATGAAATGTTAAATATACTAGTTGTTTCAACCAGTATATTTTTACCATTTTGATCTAGTGACACATTTGGAAATGATAATGAATTGGGGATCTTAAAAATCGTCTAATAAGTGCAAACATCTTTTAGTTTACAAATCCATCTCAGTTACCATAAAGCATTGTGTTTCAGTTTTAAATACATGCAAAAGCTAAATAACCCAATTTACATAAAAATAATCTGTAAAAAACACTTCAGTGTATATCCTTAAATATACAAAATATTATGTTATAAAGCAGATTATGTTCCAAATAATGGATCTTGATTATAAAAAAAGCAGGTGAAAGGCTGAACTGTCTAAGAGAATACATATACATTAACTTAATAAAAATCCCTTTTCAATAAAGATTTCATCTTATAAAATATAAAAATTAATCTTAATAATGCATAGTTACATCTTCATAAAGCTACAATAATTATTTTGGTACAAGACATATTAATTATTAATTTTAATAAAAGAACACTCATTTCTACAAATCTAGTCTTCTTTTACCATAAGCAAACCTGATACTCAACAGGATAATTTTTCTCATGATAAAGATTAATATTATAACCTTTACAAATACCCAGATATGTTTTAATAGATATTACGAAGAAAAATTTTAACTTTACCAATATTTCGGGTAATTCAGTAATAATTCAAAATATATCTCAAACAAATACTACACAAGAAAACATTCCGAGATACAAAGGAAGAAAAGCAAAAAATAGTTGTTTCACATTTGTTAATGAAAAGGCATATGCTCATCAATGCTATTACAACTATAAATAATTTACAATGGATACAAAAGTACACACTAATTATATCCATTAAAACAAGCACAATTAAATCGAAATGCAGCACTGATTTTGTTTCTAATATATATATCGGGGCTTTAACGAAAGTTTCTCACCACCGCAATTATCATCTGCGCAAATCACTTTGTGTTGGTGTGCTTAATCATATTTTGTCTAACGATTTCAGCATTTGAAAGAAAGAGACTTACTTTAGAACACTGTGCTGTGAAATTTGTAAAAAATATCTTTATCATCAAGTATACGGTGCCTGAAATGTAACTATCGCACCATCATTATTTCATTATTTACTTCCAATTCTGTTGCAAAAAGTCAGCTACAGAATGTCACCAAATCACATGTACTAATTTTGTATCATGTGGCACTGCAAAGGTTTGGTACCAAAAATTCAAAAACAAGGACTATTGAATTTAAAAAGCAGAATGCTCTGGCCAGCCTACTGATGTCAACGAGGCCTGCCTGAGAGAGCTTATGGAAAAAGATCAATATGCAACCACTCGAGAGCTTTCTAAGGAGTTAGACGTTAGTGCCACGTCCAATAGTCATGCTATGCATCTCACATAAACTTGGCATACAAGTTCAATCATTGGGTGCCATATGAGCTGCCTCAAACAGACAAGAAGTATCTGGGCCTGCACTGATCTGCTTGGATATTAACGCAAGGACAAAATTCTGGACTAGATCATCACTTGTAATGAAAAGCAGATTTCCTACAACAACACAAGCTGAAAAGAGGATTGCTCTGCCCTTGAAGAGCTCATCAGCAGCGTTGCAAAGCGCAATCTGATTAACAAAAAGATCATGCTTTGTATCTGGCGAGATTGACATGTATTATCAACAAAGAGTATCTGGGAAAAAAAAATAAATAAAACCATTTACAGTAAGGTGTATAGGAGCTGCTGTCAAGAATAAATGTTGAACTGACTTCCGGCACAAAACGGTAATCCTCCATCAAGATAATGAAAACTTTCCGGCACAAAACGGTAATCCTCCATCAAGATAATGAAAACTATATGTGTCTGCATTCACCAGCTGGACTCAGTATAAATTTGAATGGCATCTTTTGCCACACCCATCATATACCTCCGACATCACTCCTTCTACCTGTTTTCACACCTACAACTACATTTTGCTGGTGCTACCTTCCATTTTGCACAGGACGTCCGAAATGAGGTTGTTATGTTTTTGGATTTGTGGCCACACAGTTTATGGGCTGAAGGCTTTGAAAAACTACTAAAACATTGGCAGAAAATCATAAATTTGGGTAGTGATTACTACCCACACTAACGGTACTGCTTTTAATATTTTGTTTTCCTAACTTTACTAAGAAAATTTTTTGTCTGAAAATTTTTGTTACAACCAGACACATTTGTTTCAGATATATAGTTCGATAGAAACGAATCATGCATAGCACTGTAACAATGAAACATTACAATCACACATGCAGTGTCCATAATCTGTCAGTAGGTCTATTTAGCTATAGTGCTCATAATATACCTGATAAACTTACTGTTAAAATTGTTCATCAAGATTTACTGGTATTTATTTTTTGTCTGATCCAAACCTTATAAAATGTTTTGATTTCAGTATTAAATAAAGCATTTTTTTTTAACTTACTATTCAATAAGATTCGTAAAATGTGTTAAATTTTTGGTACACTGATATTATTCAAAATCACCTGGGTTGAAGTCGCCAAACTGTGGCAAACATGCGCATAACAATTCTTCAGGTAACCATATGGATAATTAAGTCTCAAAACATGCCATTTTGGATGTATTAGAAGCCCTAAAAGGCAAACTGCGATATTTTTCGTCCTTAGCTGAATTTTAAGATATGTAGATTTGTGCTTGTGGGATTTGCCTGCAAAAAAAGTTCTGCGAAATTTTTGCATGTATGTATATAGGAAATGTATATTCCTATATAAATTTTGCCACAAAGGCGAAAATGTTCAAATTCGCAATTGATGATGATGTATTTCGGAAAACCACCTTTTTCAAAATGCAACATGAGAAAGTGTAACAAACACAATGGTACCTAGAAACGGCCAGCAAGACTGGTCGACTGTAATAATTACATGCAAGAGATACCACAAAGTAGTTTTACAAATTGTTCCTCAGAAACTAAAAATATGTATATGATGCAAAATTAATAACTATCTTCAATTCGGAATTACCATTCTTTTCCTTCTTTAAAAAACTGCCAAATTGCGCCAAGGTAGTTGTGATAACACCAAAGTACCCAAATTTAGTCACATTTGTCATTTACAGATTTTTTTATGTAACATATTCTTATTACCAGCTAATTTGATAACAAAATCCTTTCGTTTTTGAAAAACTTCTAGATATTTATGCATATCTTTTTAGGTACAGATGTCAGCAAAATAATTAGTAAATAAATATATTAGATTACTCCTTTTTTAATCAAAACTGAAATGAAATTCCAACATACCACTTCTAAATACTTGAAGTTATTTCATTCTAAATAATTAAACACTTTTTCTGTTTTCGTCACAGCTAATTGAGTTACCAATATATTGATAAATTATCTTGCATTTAACTGAGCTTATATTAAAAAATATTTTGCTATATAAGGCTGGAGAGACGGCCTTTAGTAAAAATATACGAAAAATACAAGCAATGGCGATTTAATCTATGAACTTAAGATTAGACTTTTCATGTAAAGCAGTTTAAAATATTGGTACTCTTCTGTTATTGGGACCAGATTCAGAAATGTATGGATGAACGCATGTGTTCATATACGCACATATGTGTGTACAAATGTATACCTATATACACGCATAACTACATTTCTGAACCCGGTCCTGATAACAGAAGAGTATCAAAATGATAACCGAGATTTTGGAAAAATGCAGCTAATAGGCACATCAGATGTGAATTTTTTTAAATATCTATCTTGTGGTCATTAACGTCCTATAGCAGAGGTGGGGAACCTTTTTACCATTAGAGGCCACATTTAAATTAGGCAGCAATAAGAGAGGCCGCATAAGCTGATTGACCTAAGAAAATGACTTTTGTGAAATTATTATAGTTTTTCTATAGATTTAACAATTTATGCATTATATAGAAAAATAAAATATAATACTACAAA